TAGGGTTCATTTCGTCCCTAAGGCACTCCCCGTTTATATTAGCAGTCACATGACATGACCGGGAGTTCTGAAAATCCCACTGAGCACTGAGACTCGCAGAGACTTAAAGCCTAACCCCCCCCCCCCCCCCCAAACCAAAATCCGTAGCCAGCAAATCCTAGACCCTGATCATTTTGTATAATCGTGTATATATATATATGTATATAGATGGTATCTAATGTCTAAACCCTAAAACCTAAATCCTGAACCCTACGACCCGAAGACGCTTAAACAAATTGGGGTCTGGCTTTCAGGGTCGTGCCAGAGGTTTGTAGGGCTCCGGGGGATTGTTTTCTAGGTGTTTCGTCTCAAAATCACCGAAATTCATGCGCTCAGGGCCTTTGCGGTTTAGCTTTTTCAGGGGCTTTGTTGCAGTCCCGGGTTCGTGGTTTTGAGTTTTGTTGGCTTTGTGCTGTAGGCCACTGGGATCACGGGATTTTTCGATGATGCAGGAACAGCGCCAGCATGGAGGAATCCTTTTCGCCGGAGCTGCGGAAGCAGTGTTCGGGCACTGTTTATCAGATGTTGTCTGTTTTCGTTTGTGTTCAGGAGGGTTGAGGTTTTCTCGACTCTGTGTGTGTGCCAGTGTTCACCCGTGTTTATCTTCATGCACCATACAGATACTCGCTTAGCGGCTCATTCTCAGTGTTTTTACACAGACAAAAGTGTTGCGTTTGTTGCAACACCTAGGTGTGTGTACATTTATGTAACATTTATGGTGTGTGTATATATAGAAACATAAAGATTTGATCATTTATTTGTTTATGTAGATAGTGATTTCTGGATGTATCGATGAAGTTGCGCGTCTGTCTGCCTACCGCGGTCGATCTATGGATCGAACGACTCGTCTCTATCTACTTATCTATCCATCTACTTATCTACCTCGAAGCTATCTGTCTATCTATGCGCTTCTCTGTATATAGCAATCCATCTATCCACCTGTCATATGTCCATCTAAAACTTTCGTTTCTACCTATCCATCGATCTAGTATTCTCTACCTTTCTTCCCTGCCATCTAGATACGCAGCGGTCTGTGACCTTATCGTTTTTTGCTGATTATGGACAGCATACCGGCCACGGCTAGTAAGTTTCGTATTGCTGATGCGACTGTTAGGGGCAGAAGTATTAGAACCTCCACCCCAAACCCTATGCCCCAAAACGTCTCTGGCAGCTCAGAAGTTTCAGCACTATTGAAGCGTACCTATAGTCTCCATTGTAGTTCCTTTTTTTGGTTGAACCAATTTTGTATTAAGGATCCTAGAAGGTAATGCCAAAATGGAACTACAGTGGAGACGGTAGGTAGTTCCTCAGTGGTCCAAACCTGCTGCTCACTTCTTTTTTGTGTCTCCAAATGGAGGTTCAGAAGATGGGCGACTCTACCCACAGACTCCAAAACCCCTTAATTAAGGAATATACCTTAAATCTTATTAGGGTTCCGATTATAACTTAAGGTATATTCCTTAATTAAGGGGTTTTGGAGTCTCTGGGTACTTGGGAGGACCATAGGACTTAGTTTGTAAGGTCATAAGGACCTGCGTTGGAGTTGTAGTAATGGCAGTTTACTTTATTTAGCTTGCTTGACCCTAGTTACTAAGTTCCATGATCCTTTGTGTAGTCTAGAGAGTAGTGGCCCAAATCCTAAACCCTATAAACCCTAAAGGGATTCTGATTACAAGAACCCGTAGAAGCGTTACCGCAGTTCTCAGGCCCTCAGCCACCTCCGCCTGTTGGGTTTGAGGCTTCGGGACCCAAAATCCTACTTTCAAGGATCAATGGAGTTGGTAAGTCTGTACATATAGACTGTAAGTGGAGTTATGTATATACATATATATATATCATATGTATGTGGGTACATATATATATATATAAGTATGCATGGTATAAGCGCCCTCGCTGCACGGCTCTATACACCTAACCCTAATTCTGGCCTACGTGCTAGCTTCCCTGATCCGTCAAGTAAACCTTACTCAACCCTAAACCCGTGTACTCCCCTTATGGAAACCTGTAGAGGGATTACGAAATCATACCCAAGCCCGTTTTGCATGAGGCTTTGGCAAGAGCTCACGGGCGGCGACGATGACAACCAGGTACACCCGTCGGGGGATTTAGGGTTTAGGGTGCACTTTATCCGGGAGTCCAGACTTGGAGTTGGTCGTTGCGTCCATGGTTTAGGGTTTAGGGTTTGGGTGTGTATATACATTCGTGCCTGCATGCACGCACACTTGCACACATGCATACATACATACCGACAGAGACACAGGCAGAGACTGAGACAGAGACAGACTCATACAAACAACACACATACCCGCACAGTGGCATGTATGTAATGTGTGTATTAGAGACAGCGGGTGAGAGAGAGAGAGAGAGTCAGAGAGAGAGAGAGAGAGATATATATATATATATAATTTTGGACCTTGATTTTTTGGAGCCCTACAACCAAGCCTCTAGACGTAGATTCATTGATCTTGAGGCCTTACATGTATGGCTATATATATATACACACATATAACTAAATAGATAAATAAATAAATAAATAAATATATATATATACATACATATATGCACACATGTTGAAGTCCAAGAAAGGAAAGCCCATCGAACCCTTGTGGAAAGCACCGTAAAACTAGCAAAATCCCGCAACAAATCTAACGAACTATTACAAAACCCGGCGAGGCCCTGCACAGCCTGCACCCTAAACCCTAAACCCTCGTGCCAGAACCCCCAAAAGCCCGCAAGGAGGGTGGGTTTAGGGTTTAGGGTTTATTGAGGGGATCTCTCAAGAGGCATTCGAATAGTTTAGAGTTACCCTAAACCCTAAACCTGGGTTCAGGGTTTAAAGGGTTTAGGGTTGAGGGTAGATACATAGAGTTCCCGGTCGAAGCTTCAAGGTGCACGTCCCGAACTGTCGGAGAGGTGTCGAGAACACCCTATTGACACTACTGAACCTGAGCAGCAGGCCAAAGTGAACCCTAAACCCTAAACCCCTAAACCCTAAACCCCTTTTTCCTAACCCTAAACCGAATCCATTTCTGTTCAAGGGCCTGCGCGAAAGAGGGAAAGCTTAATCTCTGGAGCTTAGCGTTACGGGGTCATAAAGCCCAAAACCCTATTCCAGAAAGCCCGAGAAGGGGTCAGCAGTCAAGGAGAAAACGTTGAGCTCCCTGATACGATTACACAGACTTCAGCCGATTGCCCACCATGTTGAGGCAGTCTAGACCACGCACCCTATGAGTGCAAAAAGCCCTACGCCAGGATCTTAAGATGTCACAGTACCCATAGGCCCCTAAGTAGTTCCTTTCTGGGATTACCTTATAGGATTCTAAATATAAGCCACAAAAAAGGAACTACTTAGGAGCCTACGGTCTATGGGTAGAAATCATAAACCCAGTCGGTGGTCGTGGACTTTGACCACTTCTTGGCCGCCCTCCGCCATGGGCCGAGCCTGTGTCAGCCGGGTTTTGGGTTTAGGGTTTAGGGTTCGTGTTCTCATTGCAGGGGTCTAGTGGTTGCCCTGATTGGTTTTTAGGGTATAGGGTTAAATATCGTAGGCTGCGAGTTTTGAACCGACCAAAAGCATTATTGCTTTTATTGCAAAGGCACAGGCGCCTTGCGGAATATTGATACTTGAGGTTCCTATCCATTTAGTTACATAGGGGTTTAGGGTCTAGGGGAGGCATGTTGAGGGTCTTGTAAACTCCATCAGGGGGGAAGTAAGTAGGTTATGGGTGGGCTGGTCTTTAATATCGTCCCTACTATAGAGCTCTCCCTATAGCCCACTCTGATCCTTCGAGTAACCTCTCCAGTCTTCTACACCACTTCTAATTTTATGGGTAGTTGTCTACCCATAGCCCCCTAAGTACTTCCTTTTTGGGAGTACCTTATAGGATTCTAAATATAAGCCACAAAAAGGGAACTACCTAGGGGCCTATGGGTAGGTTAAGGTCCCGGTTCTTCTTATACTGGTGCCGTACTATATTGGGGACCTAAAACGGGACCCGAATTTAGCGAACTACCCAAATAACCCTGCCGCAAAAGGCGAACCCGTTACCTGCACTTTCAAGCCAAGGAAAACAAAAAAACATCTCCCTCAAAATTGAAGGTGCGTTCCTGAATTGATGGGCTATTGGGCCCCCTAAACCCTAAACCCGAAACCCGGGTATGACCTTACAGCCTGTTCCTGGGTACCCGACCAGGCCGTGAGTTGGTCTCAAAGTTTAGCTGGAGGGTGTAGGTGGTACTTCTGAGGGTTACTTTATGGGATGCTATGGCACGGTTCTTACATGGGTCGCTTTTGAGATCCGTGAACCCTAAATGTTGCTTTTGGGGATTCAGCTTTTTGGGTGGCGACACGCCTCAATGAGAAAACTGAGGCCCAGCCACTACAAGAACATCAAAACCCACTTGGGTTCAGGGTTTGGGTTTAGGGTTTACAGTTTAGCGTCTGTGTGTTCAGGCCGACCCCTTGAATGATATAAGGCCACACGAGACCCAAAGGTATCCCACTACCATGTGGCTGATGATGGGTGTTCGTTTGGTGGTTCTGTTTTCCTATGATGACGTGTGTCTGAGTCAGGGCAAAACCCAATCCGCTTCCCTACCCCATTGGGTGCCCAGGCGATACAGACTTTGCCACACTTTGTCCTCCAAATTACCTGTAGAGGAACCCTCCTAAGGCCAAAGAATATACTCTGTAACGTGGATGATATAAATCCTGCATGACCTTAAGGCCTTAAGGACCCGGAACTATGGGAGTTATGGTATAATCCTTATTATGGGTAATGCAGGATTTATATCATCCACCATACGGCTACATGGACCTTTTGGGTTACACGAAGGGATCCCTCCCACCCCAGGCCTCTACACCAAGAGAATCCCTCCGCAGGAGGCTGCATGTGTGGAGAAGGCACTCCATTCGACATTCCAAACCCTAAACCCTAACCTTCCCAAACCCTAAATTTCAACATTCAGGCGAACCCCAAACTCCATAGCCGTCTAATCGCCAAAAAATTTGGCTCTGGAACTCGTTCCTTAAAGGAACCACCATGAAATAAAAGTCTATATCCTTATAGAAGCCCTTGAAGATTTTTTTAAGGAACCCTAAAAGCGACCCTAATTTAGAGAACTACCCCTATCTTTTTGAAGAAGACTTCGGCCGTGGTCACTTCAAAACCCAGAAATCCTGCTCCTGCGCTGAGGCGGTGTGCGCGCACAGGACATCAAGGCTTGGCGTTTTAGGGTTTTAGGTTTCCTTAGGGTTTAGGGTTTGTGGTTCAGGGTTTAGGGTTTAGTGTTTCTCGCCTTGGTGGTTACTGGTTTAAGGTGCAAGGTTTTCCGATGTTTAGCGACTGTTAGAACCTCAATACTTGACTATCCTACATCCGAAGCTTAGGATTAAGCGATCTTCCGGGTTTAGCCAGCAGACGTGGAAGTGCTGTAATCGGGCGTTTGGTGGGCTTCCAGCTTGTGGTAGGCGCTGAACAGTAGGCCTATGAGACCAGAACCCTAGACAGCTAAAGCCAAACCCCTAAGCCCTAAAGTGATCCCGAAACCGCCCCGTAGAAAGCCCAGCCTATAAAGCCCTTCAAGAGCCGTGTATCCTCCTGAAGCCTTTGTCGAACCTCGTTGTCCAGGTTCCGAAATCTGAAGGAAGGTTGTGCGACAGGATTTAGGGTTCAGGGCTTAGGACAATTCCAGACTTCTTTGCCTTTGCTGTAGAACTTCCGCAAGACTAGCCAGGAGCCCTAAAACAATCCAACGAGGCTTTGCAACGAATTCATCACCTGCGCTCATCCTCCAAGCTAGAGGTCCGCAGAACAAGCTGATAGTCCATGCAGAATAGTATTTGTCTGTATGTCTGTCTGTCGGTCTGTCTGTCTGTATGTATGTATGTATGTATGTATGTATGTATGTAAATATATTTCTTTGTATCCATATATATATATATATGTTGTAATCATGAATCAATCTGTAGGGTGCAAGCACGACGGCTCGTTCCTAGTTCTATTGAACGCTTCAGGTCCAAAGCGCTCTGCAGCCCTGTAAACCTTTATCCGTGACCTCCAAAGCGTGCATCCTCAACCCTTCGGCACCGGTATAGGGTTTAAGGTTGAAGTCCCATGATTTGCGTTCTACGTAGTATTAGGGAGACCCCTCAAAGGGGACCCTTCTTAACCCGACTTATGGCTCTCTTAAAAGGGACACTTATTGAAAGGGTCTATATCCCCTCTCCCTAATCCTAACTCCTATTGTGCTGCAGGAAGTGTCAAAACCGGCACCGGCAGCGGCAGTACCTGCAGCTCCTTCTTTGAATGCTCTGCCCATTGCCAGGCAGGGTTAGGGTTTAGGGTTTAGGGTTTAGGGTATTGCCAGGTGCAGGGGATGTCCCTGTGGCGGTTTCACCTAATTAATACAGGGGCCTTAATAACTACCTACACTGTTTTGGGGCTTCCTTATCGAAATCATAGTGTAATATACCCCCAAGACCCTATTCTAATCATAAAGGCCCCGTACATTAAAGCCACACAGTAAACCCTGAACCCTTCAACTCTAAGCATGCCAAAACCAGCATGGAAGCTTTTTAGCCCTAAATCCAAACCCGAACCCAACCCAAAGAGCTACGCAACAAAGCTTGTAAGCTAGTATTAATCCTCAAACCACAAGACTAAACAATACACCCTAGACCGCCGAAAAAGGCCTAAAACCCTAAACACCCACGAAAAAAAAAAAACAGGCCTCAACCCGAAACCCAAAACCCCGCGAAACCCCAAATCCTAGCCCTCAAGCCCCTAAAGCCGCACCTGAGAGGCGGCAGCACGGCGCCGTGGCCTCCATGAGTTTGCCGGTCAAGGCCAGGGGGGCGAAAGTGGCCCCATCCCTGGGCCTTCCAATCAAGGCCCGTGGATAGGGCTTCGGGTTTTAGGGGGTTTAGGAGGTTCAGGGGGTTAGGGGGGTTTAGGATTTTTGGCGTTTAAGGCTTTAGGGGTTTAAAGTTTAGGGTTTTGGGGTTTAAGGTTTAGGGGGCTTCCGATCAAGGCCCGTGGATAAGGGAGGTCAGGGTTAAGGCTTAAGGTTGACCGTTTAATACATGGGGCCTGAATAATGACTAGAATGCGGCTTTAGGGTGTAGTTATTGTGTTGGGTTAGGGTCGTGTGAGATTGTCCGACATCACAAACGCAGGAGCCCCCAAGGGGCTGGCATTTTAGGGGCCTTGATCACTATCGGGCTTGGGGTGTAGGGCTTGCTATTACTAAGGTTCCTTCCTATGGTTGTAGCATAGAATACCCAAATACCTCTAGGACATTTTCAGGTGGGGAGTTAAGGTTATAGGAGCCTGAAAGAAGGTCTATGCACCTTATAGAAGCCTTACAGAAGCCCTATATGCCCTAAACTCCCCACCTGTAGTTACCTTTAAAATACCTTATTCTAATGGTTGTAGCATAGAAACCCTAAACCCTAAACCCTAAACCCTAAAATACCCTAAACCCTAAACCCTAAACCCTAAAATACACCAATACCTTGGTTCTAACTGTTCACGGCCCCTAGAGTCGCTAGTCATGTTTGGCCATCGGTTGAGCAAGCCGTCGTGACCGGCAGACAAAAAGATAAGGCCGCCGTGCTTCTTTTTGGGTTTAGGGTTTTAGGGTTTAGGGTTTAGGTATAGGCGTGCGATTTCTCTGAAATTGATACTACCAATGCCTCAAACCCCAAGTCGTAAAGCCTAAACCCCAATGAGGTGTAGAGATTCCTTCGTGATCCGGGATCCCCCGTGTTCGGGGTGCTACCAAGGTTTACGCGAGTTCCTTGTTCAGAGGCGTTTGTTGTGGTTTGGGTATTCTGTAGTATCAACGACTGTCAAACCAAGCAGAACTTACAGGACTCAGGGTCGAGGGAATAAGAATGACTTACTTGGAGGTTCATGGGACTTAGTAACCTAGTAGCTGGAGTTATAAGTAAGCTAGCTATGCTTATAATAAATACTTGTAACTCCATTACTTAAGGTACTCATAACCTCACTTGCTAAGTCACATGATCGTCCAAGTAGGAGACGTGCACTTGGGGGTACCCTGAACCTCCAAGCAGCAAGCAAGGTTTGCAGCTTTGGCTTCGGGTTAGGGCCCCTATAATTTTCATGTTAGGGTTTATAGTAAGGAACTACCACACCCAACAAAAATCGTTGGCTTTGGTGGGTTACGGTAGGGCTTTGGGTTTGAGTCGATTTCGGCCAGGTGTGCGCGAGACAGACTTCTTCTGCCCAAATCCTCGAATCATTCAACCTCCAAGCCCTTGGAGCCTGTAAGCCTGAGACCCAGGGCCAGGGCCACACAACTTGAGCCCTAAGTAAACCCGAAGCCCTGGTCCGTCCACGAAACCCCGACCTTGGATCGGAGATTTCGAGTTCAGGGCCCTAAACCCTAAACCCTAAACCGAATCGTAGGATCAACCCGGTAGCACAACGTGGACTCAGCCGGTGCCGTTTGCTGCTTTGAGCTCTAGGTTTTGAGAGGCGCTGCTTACAAGAGAGAGCGAGGGTTGGGTTGCGGCCCCAAGCCCAGGACCCCAAACCCAAAACCTATGGGTAGTTCCCTAAATTCGGGTCCCTTTTTAGGTCCCCAATATACTTGAATGTAGTACGGCACTCCTTATAAAAAGGACCCTAAAAGGGACCCTAGACAACTACCCCTGTTGTATTGTTCCAAAATACCTCACAATCAGGTCACTTCCTTCAGCATACAGGGTACTAGTAGAACTGCTAGGGTACTGCATTCCTGGACCTTGAGCACCCCAGAGAACCGGGGGTCAGAAGCCCTGCAACCTCAACCCTCAATCCTACCTCAAAGAGGCCTCAACCCCAAATCCCGAACCCTAAACCTCAAACCCTAAACCCTAAAATACCAAATGGGTAGTTCTGTCCCTGTTTGGGTCCCCAGAATAGTACGGCACCCTTATGAGAAGGACACCCAAAAAAGGACCCTAATCTAGAGAACTACCCAAATCCTACCCTAAACCCTAAACCCTAAACTTCAAACCCTAAACCCTACAATGCCAAATCCTACCCCAAGCCCAGGAAGGACACTTCATACCTGGTCGCGACTTCCGGTTCGTCCGTGCTTTGCTGTATCAGGGCGTGGCTCGACTTCAACGCGCTTTTCTTTTAGGGTGTCTAAGGGCTTCTGGGGATCAGGGTTTGGGGTTTTAAAGCTTAGGGTTTTAGGTTTAGGGTGGGGTAGGGTTTTAGGGTTTGGGGGTCTCAGGTTTAGGGTTTAAAGTTTAGGGTTTAAGGCTTAGGGTGAAGTAGGGGCCTCAATCATGACAACAGGGTTTAGGGCTCCGGGGCCTGAGTAATTAGAACGGGCTGCCGGGTCCTTGTAAGCTATCTGTTTAGGGTTTAGGGTTTAGGGTTTAGAATATGTATACATGTATCTACGACGCATAGCCGTAAGGAGCAGTGTCAGTTATAGCATGACTTCACTGTGATGATGCTTCTAGTCTTATGGACAAGGTTTGCATACGGGGTAGTGAGGCTTCATAGACTTACATGGCCAGCAGACGTAATGAGTACATAAGTTTCTTATTTTTGCGGTTATAGAAGTACCCTAGTTCAAGCTGTGTTTTAAGCCTCGTTAGCAAGTCTTCTAAGGCTTTATGTTAGGCACAGGGGAGGTGTTGAAACTTGCTAGGCAGCAAGCTTTCAGAGTGTAGGACAAACCACGGTTTTTCAACTCCGGTGAAGCATCTTGAAGGAACCGGTGGCCATCGGTGAGAGAGCTAGCAGCCCAGTTCTATGGGTCCAAGTATCAGAACAGTGGGGGCTTAATTAGGTAACCAAAACCATGAAGCCTAGGCCTTACCGGTGAAGAATGAAACTGGTTTCTACCCCATCACACCCGAAGCCCCGACCTAACCCGCAAACCCAAAGGAAGATCGAAGACGCCGAAACTCCGAACACTAAATTAAAACCAATCCAAAACCTAACCCAAATAGCCGATACCCTACACCCTGAATCCTAAATCGAAAATACCCTGGACTGTTTCAGCTATGGGCCTTCGAACGGCCTCAAGACCCAGAGTCCATTGCAGGAACACCGCGAGCCTTACTTGCCACCTCCTGACGCGAAGCCCCATGGAGGATGCAAGGATCCTACAAACATCTGGCATCGAAACCGCACCGGCCAGACCCCAAAGGCATACCCATAGCCGCCTAAGTAGTTCCTTTTTGGGATTACCTTATAGGATTCTAAATATAAACCCATAAATAAGGAAACTACTTAGGATCCTATGGGTAACCCTCACTTGCAACCCTCCACCATCCCTTTTTCGGATGAGGTATTTGAGATCTTCTCCTCAACGCTGAAGGCGTGCGTGCAGGGCCGATCGCTGGAAGATGCGTCTTGGCTGAGGGCACACTCGGTAACATTATAAATTAGTGTTGGTAGGCCCAGACCTTCCAATATCCATTAATTGCAGGAACATTCCCTAAACTCTAAACCCTAAAACCTTAAATTACCTGGCATTTCGGACTCCTTCGGGCTGATGGAAAAGGGGCGATAAAAAAATAAAATAAATTACAGTACATCCCTAGCACGATTTAGGGTATGTTCCTTCATGACGGGGATATTGGAAGGTCTGGGGGGGTTCCCTAAGGGTCCAAAGGGCCTTAAGAGTTAGTTCTTAGCTACTTGGGCTTAGGAGAGCTCATAGGTTTAGGGTTTAGGGTTTAGGGGTTTAGGGGTTTAGGGGTTTAGGGTTTAGGGGTTAGGGGTTTAGGGGTTTAGGGGTTTAGGGTTTAGGTAGACTTAACAAGCAAGGTATTTTGGGGAGGGGATGATCATCAGGTACTGGGACCCCTTCCCGGTCGATAGAGATTCTCTCCAGGCATTCAACAGGGCTTGTATTGGGGTTTAGATTTGTGCCATGATCGGTTTAGGGTCCAGGGTGTTCAGGGTTTCTTTGGTTGTACGAACCTTACTGCATCTAATGAACCCTAAACCCTAAAACACTGAAAGCAAGCGCCAGAAGGTAGCGCTTGAAATCTGGAAAAAAAACGTCGAGCCAGTGGCCGCTGGTGCTGAGATAATGCAGTCTACTCGGGTTGTCGATAAATCCAAAGCCATAAGCCCTAAACCCTAAACCCTAAACCCAAAGCCCTAAACCCTAAACCCTAGAATCCCCCCCTAAACTCCTAAACTCCTAAACCCTAAACTCCTAAACTCCGAAACCCTAAACTCCTAAACCCCTAAACCCTAAGCCCATTCGGTTTGGGGCAGTCTTGGGTTCGAGGTTGAGCGGTTTGGGCCTTGGCTTTAGGAACCGGCTGGCTTTAAGGGCGGCTTTTAAAGCTTTTAGGCGGGGGCTTTTAGGGGGGCCTTAAGGAACCCGGGCTTCTGCCGCTTCTATACTAAGCCCCCTGATCCTTCTAGCGGGGTTAAGAGATCAAGCTTCCAGGGGCCTGGGTCTAGGTTTTGGGGTTTTGGGAAGTTTAGGGAATGCTTGGGGGTTTAGGGCTCTAGGGGTTTAGGGTTCTAGAGTTTGGGGTCAAGGACCTCCGGGGTGTAGTTTTGAGGGTTTAGGGTGTAGGGTTTAGGGTTTGGGGTTTAGGCTTTAGGGTGTAGGTTTAGGCTTAAAATGCGAAACATGTAAACAGTGCTCACCCCGAGCCTCCACGCGCACAACGAACATCTGAACTTCGAAGTCCAGTGGTCCGAAGCCTTTCAAGGTGTTTAGGGGTTAGTGTTTAAGGTTTGGCTTTGATGGTTTTTGAGGTTGTGGGGTTTAGGGTTTAGGGCTTCAGGGTTATCGGGTTGTAAAGGCTTCAGGGTGCAGGCGGATTGCGGAATATAAACCGGGTCGAGACGACCTTGTGCAATTGCCTCAACAATTCGGGAGAGATGTGCGCATTTCTTCATT